AATATTCTTTAAGACAAATGATATGTGCATATGCCTGTATTTAGAAATTTTTACCACAGAACATTTTTCCTTGTTTCTCGAAACAGCTTCAAATAATGGTAATTAAAAATGATATTTTCAATTTTGATTATAAATTTTGATTATAAGATCTTCAGTTAAAATGAGTGAGCCATTGAAATGATGAGAGGTAACACAGAAAATCTCCCATATTCAGACATCTGAAGTCTTTCGAAATTTATCAGAACTACCTGGAATCTCAGTACCTCACCCAAAGTCACTACACAAACTACTTCCTAGCTTAAAAGTAATAAACATGTTCCTTATTTTCTGAAATTTGGAAATAATTGATTTCATTTGAAAATTTTGATGACTATTTAAAAAACTTTTACTTCATTTACATGATTTTAAAAAACATTTATTTATTATTGTATCACTTTATTTTAAATTGGTAGGGGGAGGCAATTAGGTTTTATTTTATTTTTAGAAGAGGTACTGGGGATTGAATCCAGGACCTCAAGGATGCTAAGTATGTGCACTCTGCCACTTGCCTATATCCTCCCCCAATTTATATAATTTTAAAATTAATCTATTATATTTTTTGTGGTCTCCACTACTGTAAATAATAAATTTACATATCCAGCTCCTCTAGCCATATACCATACCTTCTTCATTACTTCCTTTATTCGGTGAAAATGATGCCTGAAAGATAAGAATTGAGTCTCTGTTATAATGAATGTTTAGATGGGTAAACTATACCCAGAATGGTTTTTTCCATGAAATTACAGAACAAAGTTTAGACCCAATGGCTCTCCAATCTGAAAAAAGTGAATACTCTTCTTTGCCTTTTATTATTCTTGCCCATTTTTCAGATAAACAAACCACAGGCTTGGAGTCAAGTTAAAAAAAAAAAAGCATTCTTGAAAATATTTTCTCTCATTAACCCATGGGAACTACTGTGAATGTGAAGACAGAGGTTTTCTTTCAGTTGCTTCTTTGGCTAAGATCTTGAGAACAAATACCCAACACACATTCATAGCTAAGTGCACGTGTGTGCACACACACACACACACAATTATATAATTTATTTAGCTGTCTTCTAGGGTGTTTAATTTTTCTGTTTGTTTTGATGACTGGGCCAAGATTCTTAGGATAGATATAATCTATGGTAGACAAGTTTGAAAAAAAGGATTTTCTGATACAAGATTTTTTTCCTAAGTAAGAACAATAAATTTTTAAACTTTTATTTTTTTTAACGTTTTATTGGGAGATCCATTTTCCATAGAAAAGAATGTACACAGCCCAAGAATAATAGACTAAACATTTATGTAACCACCTCCCAAGTCAAGAAATGGAACATGCCAGGCACATCCCCAATCATAAACTCTTCTCCCCGAGTAGTAACTGCCACCTGGTTTTAAAGCATACTTTTCAGATTTCAAAATTAATAATCAACTCTTAATTCTCTGAATCTGCTCTGCCTCAGTAGCAAAAATCTGCCTTTGATATTTGAGGTCTGGCGCAAATGTACAAGTGGAGACCCATATACCATATACAAAGTATTAAAAAGTTATAAATCAAGCTAACAAAGTGATGGATAGAATATATAAAGTGGTCCATTCTACTATCTGGATAAATACACCTTTGTATTGACTGCAAAGCTCTCATTTAGCATTCTAGACACCTCAGAGACTGCCAGAACATGGCAAAGTAAGAAGAGGCACATGGCTCTCATCCTGCCCCACTTCTCCTGCTACCCCAGGCTCCATCTGTGTTGAGGGCCTCCCCTGCACAAGGGCAGAAATTTCTAGCTCACACATCTATGCATGCCTTATGTCCAAACAGCCACCACAGGCCCCTGCAGAAGTCATGGTGAGCACAGGGTCCACCTAATCATGAGCATGGACTTGGGGAGAATCCTGCACAGGCCCTGGAAACAGGCTTGCAGCTATTTGGGTAAGGAATTTCAGGGACTGGAGTAGCTAAAAGGTTGTCTAGGACTGGGGGCTCAACACACAGCTTTGGTTCCTTGGTCTTGCCCTGTGGGGAAGGAATGACTGGATGAGGGTCAAAAAGAAGGACCCAAAGCAGCACCCTCCTTGCTTAGGTCTAAGGTCAGTACTGAATAAGAATAACTTGGCAGGAAAATTTAAATTCTAGCAATACTAAAATATCCTCCATAATAGTTAATGTGTCAACCTGGAGGATGGTTTTGGCTAAGACTAATACTTACATTGGCAAACTACTGGTAAAGCAGATTGCCCTCCATAATATGGGTGGGCCACATTCAATCAGTTGAAGGCCTGACTAGAACAAAAAGACCAGTCTCCCTAAGCAAGAAGGAATTCTCCAGCAGACTGCCTTTGGACTGCCTTTGCATCATTGGCTTTTTTTGGGTCTCTAGCCTGCTGACCTATTCTGCAGATTTTGGAAGCACTAAGCTAACAATCTCTTCATATATATCTTCTATTAATTGTTTCTCTGAAGAATGCTGGCTAAAACATTGCCCTGAATCATAAATAGATTAAGGCTATTATTTCTTCTATTCTTTAAGAAAAAGGCTAATCAAATATGCTTTGTTTTATTTTCTACCATACAAAAGGATGTTGTAACTGTGTAAATAAAGAAGATTTCTGTACAAATTGTATGTGGAACATCTTTGACATTTTCCAAGTACTTCAAAAACAAACAAACAAACAAACAAAAACAAACAAAAAACCAAGAAAATCCTATTCAGCTTCCTAGCACAGAGAAAATGCTTAACCATGGTTGGTTCTGAGGACAGTAGGACTTAAATAAACCTGGGTGTGAAAGTAACACTACAACATAAAAATTATACTCATTGAGATTAGGCTTTTGGGACTTGATGGCTTTATTTTTCTAAACAGACTATAAAACAGAATCACTTGCATATTCGTTGAAACTGTTATGCTCTTTATTGTGCAGGACACCTATTACAAAGTCTGTTGGAAAGTCAGCTGTTTGGACTTATTGCTTAAAATTAGCAGCTGCTTCTGCTGGAGCGGTCAAACATTTCAGGGGGAGAAAATTTCGCATGATATAGAAAATAGAATAATTGAGCAACTTCTCATGAACCTAAAAAGTATTACAGAAAAGAAATGGACAAACTACTCAAGCTAAAACATTCATCACTACAACTATTTTAAAAATTATTCCTAGGATGTTTTTATTTCTTTACTCTTCAAATATTTTTCTTGGTTAGTAAGAGTATATTCACAATGTACAAAGCCTTACACAGAAGAAAACAAACATCACAGGTAAGTCTAAGACTCAGAGATATTAACTATTAAAGTTTAGGGGTAAATTTTTTCTTTTTACATTTTATCATATTAACATATGCCAAAAGAGAGACCAACATTGAAATTTGAAAATGATAGGTTCATGATACATAACAGCTATTTAACTCTTTGCCTACTGTCATCGACTTCCTGATTCTTAAAGACAGAACAAAGAAATGCATGAAGCAGCATCTGAAAGTGACCTCATCCCAAACCCCACTCTCAGGAGTCACCATCTTGACATTTCACTTACTTCTCCTAATTTCTCCAAGGGGCAGAATGTGGGCACCCCCTACATCTAAGATAAATTCTCCAGGAAACTGTGAGTATTACTTAATACTCGTTCTAAAAATGTTATCTCCCCTTTCCCACTCCAAAAATACTTCCCATGAATATTCGTATCTTTAATTTCTTTCAAACAAATCCAGTGTTCTCATTACCAATGTATTCCTCTTTTATCAACCAAGAAGGCTTACCCATTTACAAACTGTATTTTAAATGAATAAGAACTATTAATACAAATGCCCTGTTCTCCAGATACCCCATCAGGTCCTTACAAGCACTTTCACCTGCAGGCTGTATTTGTTCAAATTAACTAACAAACACGATACACTGAACCAGTATAAAATCTTGCTTTACTACTTGATATGAGGATTGCTGTTCTTTCACTTGATTATAAGGATTAAAAATTAAAGAGAAAAAAGTTCCTGATTTTTCATTCAGGTGCAGCAGGGTTTTAACTGAATTAAATTATCTTGTGTATTTTCTGTGCATTATGTTTCCATGGTTCATAATGATTCTCTATATCATTTTTTCTTCTTCCAGTTTTACTGAGATATAACTGACATACAGCACTGTGTAAGTTGAAGCTGTACAGCATAATGATTTGACTTACCTGCATCATGAAATGATGACCACAATATGTTTAGTGAACATCCATCATCCCATATAGACACAAAATCAAAGAAATACAAAAATATATTTTTCCTTGTGATGAGAGCTTCTAGGATTTACTCTCAAAAACTTTCAAATATAATATACAGCAACATTATATTTATCACGCTATACATTATATCCCTAGTACTTATTTATCTTATAACTAGAAGTTTGTACCTTTTGACTGCCTTCATTCAATTCTCCCTCCCCCTACCTTCTACCTCGGATAACCACAAATCTGTATCTCTCTCTCTCTGTTTTTTTTTAATTATAAATGCCTCCCACACTATGTTAGCTCCTGGTGCACAAGAGAGTGGTTTGATATTTCTATACATTACAAAATAATCACCATGATTAGTCCAGTTACCATCTGTCATCATATAAAGATATTATAATAAAATTGACTATATTCCCCTTGCTGTATATTTCATCCCCATGATTCATTTATTTTGTAACCAGAAGTTTGTACCTTTTAATTTCCCTCATCTATTTCTTAATCTCTCTCATCTATATTCATTTTATTTTCACATTTCTTTTCTGATTTTTGCCTTAGAAATCAACAAAACATGACCAATTCTTAGTTATCCATAAACAAAATATAAGAATATATTAAGTTTATGTAAGTTTAATCTACTTCCTCTTTCTTTCAAGAATGTATACAATTGGCTAGTAGTTAAAAAACACTTTACTTTCATCTCCTTTGTCCATCTTTGAGTGGTAATGCAGAGAGAAGATTTTTAAAATTTATTTATTTATTTATTTTTATTGAGGTATAGTCAGTTTACAGTGTTGTGTCAATTTCTGGTGTACAGCAAGAGTGAAGCTTTTAAGAGGCAAAAAAAGGGAAAAGATGTGGGAGATATAGACTGACTCAAATTAGATCCTGATTTATCAAGAAAATACATTATTATAAAAATTTTAATAGTGAACTGCCACAAAGATGTTTATTTACAGAGTCACAAATAAAGCAAATCTGTATGGCATAAATATTGTTGTATGATCTCATTAGAAAATCACATCCACAGAAAGGTCCAACTGTGAAGGGAAACACAGTCCTCTCTGACGGACAAGTAGCTCCGATAAACTGAGTGCCCACAGAGGGAAGGGTCTCTGGCCCCAGCAGTCTGCGAGGTCCAGGCAATCCTGGTGATAAAAGGGCATCCCAGCCTGAATCCCAGATACTAAGAGCTTTTGAATCCCTGCGGCTACCAGGCTGTGGAGGGTATGAGGTAGGGCTGGGAACTCCTTTAGCAATGAGTCTGGTTCTCTCTCTCAGTCCTACATGCACTGAGTTTGTGTGTGGAACCTCACCAAGTTCAATCTTTTTTCTTTTCCCCCAATAAAATGACTATAATCACCAAATATTCACCACCGTCCTCAAGTTTCCTCCTGTCCCTGTAAAAGGGATTGTAGTCCCTCCTTCCTGGCTCTGTCCTAAACTCTCCAACCAATCATCTGTTTTGTGTC